AACAAGTGTAAATAGTTCAGCTGGTCCTGAGGAAGCTCCTCCCTCCTGGTCAGCAGGATGGCAGTCACAGCAGAGGTTCCCAGTGTGCCCTGAAATGACTGGGGACTGTCGATTGCCTGTCTAATACTGTGCTTCTCTTTCCATAGCATTGTAGCTTTCAGAAAAGCCAACAAAGTAGGCATCTTCATCAAAGTCACCCCACAGCGTGAGGAAGGGGAAGTGACCGTGTGCTTCAAGATGAAACATGATTTTAAAAACCTGGCTGCCCCCATCCGCCCGATGGAAGAGAGTGACCAGGGCACAGAGGTCATCTGGCTCACTCAGCACGTGGAACTAAGCTTTGGCCCTCTCCTTCCTTAAAACAAAGCTACCTGGTGGGCAGATCCCACACACAGCTGTTACCAACACAACTCCTAACAGTGTGGAAGCTGCTGCTTCATCAGTCGTGTTTATAAAGATGTACCCATCACTACTGAATCCTGTGGAATCGAGGCAGGCTAGGATTGGGAGCACAGGGTAACTGCTGTTGACACCAGTAAGCCTGTCTCTCTGAGCCCTGCACGTTGAGTAACAGCATAGCTCCATCCCAGTAAAGGAGTGGCTGTTCCTCAAAGAGGCGTTAGATTTAATCCTAAGAAACGTGCTGTGTGCCTGTCACAGTTTGACAGAAAACCGTAGGATGGTAATCCAGAGCAGACCTTGTCTCTGTGCGCAGCACTGGTCTCGGTGTTCCAACGGCTTTCTGCATTCCACTAAGGATAACCCTGTAATAACCTTTCATAGCCTTGGCTTTCACTTTGCCTCTGATTTCAATTTGACAGAGAAGTAGGACTGTCAGTGTGTCTTTAACTTTGTGATGACAGGGCAACCTGTCACTTTCCTAAGGCACTTTGTTTCTTCCAAAGGAACACAGTATACCTGTCACTTGCTTGTCATTTTCCTCACTAGTATATGGGACTTTTAAGAATTTGAGTGACAAGCAATTACATGTCATGAAATTCCATTTGTTTTAATATTAACCACAATACCCAGGGGCTGACGCTGCCACGGGGAGACAACCTTTATGTATTTCACTATCTGCCCTTCTCTATTCTGTTTTCTGTTTGTTGTTTGTTCTTCAGATAGGCTCGCCATGTAGCTCTCACTGGCTTGGAACTCAACCTGCTAGGATTAAAGATACTTACCACCATGTCCAGCTCGCTGCCCTGTTCTATAAATCAAGGAATTGCTCTAACGTTGGGGTTTTTAGAAAGAGCCAGGACAGTTTGTATGTGCACTCTGCTGCATCACTTCTGGGATGCAGAAAACATTTTAAACTAGACTTTTAGCATGATCCAAACTAGTGTTCTTTCCACTGAGTTGAAGGACAAATTAACTGTCAATCCCTTAAATTCAAAGCTGGACATAAAGAAAAAGAACCTTTCCCTTCCTGAATATAAGATGTCTTGTGCTGTCTGAAGTGAGACCATTTTGATTGTAAGCCATAGAAGTTCAGCAAGTAGCCAGGATACCAGCCTAACTCTAAACTTGCTGTTTTTCTCAAATACTAACATTAAGTTGCAAACCTTAATTTCTGTGATGTTTTCTAAAATCAGAGTTGACAGAGTAGACCAGCTGTACTTTTCCTTAAAAGTACTCCCAGTGTGTGGCCAACAGACCTTGGAAGAAAAAGTTGCTGTTTACAAACCCTGCTTTGGTTTTCATTTTAAGTCTCTGAGGGTTTTGTTTTGTATTAAGGACTGTATATCTGGACTACAGATAGAAAATAGTCTTTATTAGTTCCAGTTAAGAGAAACCACCTAGGAAGCTGTTGAAAGACACTTTGTTCTTTAAAGATCTTAAGATCAAGCCAATTTTATGAAACAATATTCCCACAGAGTAATATATGTACTAGAGTGTAAGAAGAAATACTGATCTCTAATACTATGAGAACAATAACTGTTTGCCTCTTAGAAGCTGGAGCTGAAAGTTGGGTAATTGCAAGTTTCAAACTATAGAAAGATGATTTTCTGTAACTCCACAAAACCTCAAGTTAATGCCTACTATGAACCCGCTATTCAGCATCTTCTTGGGGTGGAGGTGGGGCATCAACATGCAGATAGCCTCAATTGTCCACATATTGTGGAGACTGGCACAGTTGTCTGTCTGTTTGCCTTTATACAGTGACACTGATACTTATTCCCTAGGAAAACATTGAAGTAATGGGGCTCTTCACTCCTGGGGGACAAACACTTGTGGGTTTGTTTAGTTTTTGTTTTTTTGTTTTTTTTTCTTCAAGAAGTCAAGTTAACTTACAAATACCAGCTGTTGGCTGTTTCAAGGTAAGTTTAGTGCAAGCTGGTCTTGTTTGTGTTCTTAGAAAAGGTTTGACACTTGCTGGTGGTGAATTAGGAATTGTGACCTGTCACCCTTTTTGTATTAGATCAGGTACGGGGTTCTTATTCCTAGTCAGTGTGCACCAAGACACAAGAGTCAGGTGTCCTTAGCACTTGAAACTACAATTTTGGACGCTTGAGGCTAAGTTACTTTGGGTTTGTGAGTTGATTCACACTGAAAACAAATTTTTCTTTTGTTCCAAATACATGTTATAGGCATACTGCACTAAATACCCTTGCATCTGTGTAATGAGCATCCTTCTTGGTCCCTTTGGGGGTGAGAGGCACTCCTTGACTTATGAATAACAGGTTACTGTTTTGCCTTATTGCTTAATGTAGTGAAATAAAGCAGACAAAACTCAAGTGTGTCTTCTGTTTGATTTCACAAATACTAGTTAGAGCTACACATCTAAGGGTCAGATGTTAGGTGAGAGTCCATTTCTCCTTTATTATTTTTATGTGGGGGAAGAGAACTGAACTGTCCTCTGCAAATGCTCTCAACTGCTGAGCTCTGTCTCCTGCTCCTCTCTTCACTTTACATAAGTTAACTTGATAAAAGAGTGATTCACCAAGCTCTGCTTTGTGGTGGTGCACACCTTTAAAGCCAGCACTTGTAAGGCAGAAGCAGGTGGATCTCTTGTGAGTTCAAGGCCAGCCTGGTCTATATACTGAGTTCTAGGATTCTGTAGAAGGATCCTATCTCAAAAGAAAAAAAAAGTAATTCACTGAAACCTGGGTATATTGCTTGAGCTTACATACATTTTTCAGATGCACTGTTAGATGTGTACCAGCTTTTATCTCTAGAACCCACGACCACCAACCAAGCAGTGTCCCTATCCACAATGGGCTGGGCCCTCCTACATCAGTCGCTAAGAAAATGCCCTACGGGCTTGCCTGTGGTTCAATGTTATGGAGGCATTTTCTCAAGGCTTTTTCCTCTCTGATAACTAGCTTGTATCAAGTTGACATAAAACTAACCAGCCAGCATATGCTCTTTTGAGCTCTTCACACTTCATAGACTGGCTGTCCTCAGACTCTCAGAAATCAGTCTCATCTGCCTTTTCAGCATGCTGGAATTAAAGGTCTCACTATGCCCAGCAGGGTTTACTGCTATGAACAGACACCATGACCAAGGCAACTCTTAAAAGACAATGTTTAATTGGGGTATTGACTCAGACTTTCAGGTCCTATTACCAACCAGTGGCCTCCCTGACAAAGAAATTGAACCCAGTTGCCAGAGGCTGCCCCCACAGCCCTCCTGGTGCTGGGTGCTGACAAACTGTCACTGGACCAATGTCTGACAATAATGCTTCGTGCTATTGAAGGGGTACTAAAACATACCACTACAGCTGGCCTATACTTGTTTTTAAGGCTATATATAAGCATATGATATACTAGTTCCCTCATTTGTTGAAGTTATAGAAAGGTTTCAATTTATTTAAAATGATTTAAATGCAGAAGCTTCTGCCTAATGATGTAGTAGGTATGTGTGGAGTGTCACCCCTACTCAAAAACAGTGGAGGGTCTGGAGAGATTGCTCAGCAGTTAAGAATGTGTACTGCTGCTGCAAAAGACCTAAAACTCAGAACCCATACTGCACTGCTCACAGTCACCTGGCTCCAGAGGAATCTAATGCCTCTGGCCTCTGCGGGCATATACACTCATGTACATATATATCCACACGGGGACACAGAATTAATTTTTTTTTGTTTGGTTTTTGGTTTTTCGAGATAGGGTTTCTCTGTGTAGCCCTTGCTGTCCTGGAACTCACTCTGTAGACCAGGCTGGCCTCGAACTCAGAGATCTGCCTGCCTCTGCCTCCCAAGTGCTGGGATTAAAGGCATGCGCCACCACTGCCCGGCAGAATTAAATTTTTTTTTTTTTTTTTTTTTTTTTTTTGGTTTTTCGAGACA